AGATGTCATTGATGAAGAGGCTATTGAAAGACCCTTATTACAAAGGGGAGTTGAAGGAGAGGCAACAAAAGGGAGCAACACTGAAGAAGGGCACCTCTATCAAGTTATAAGCAAAAAACTTTAAATTGAAAGAGATCAATGTAAAAGAGGAGAAAATGACTAAAAGCTTACAAAATGTGAACTTGGGGATTGAAGTGTAGATGTTTCGAAATTTGAAGATCTTTGAATGCAATTTATCAAGGGTATAATTGAAATAAAAGTCAAAACATGAGGATCAAAATGTAAAAGGTCAAAAGTTAAGGGATCTAGGTGTAAAATTACTGAAGGACTTGAAGGCAATTTTCATGTTTTGTCTATGCACAAGCATGACCTTCAACATATTCACCATGTAAGGCCTCATCTTCACCTATGCGTTAGCCTTCCATGAATGAACTATCCACCATGGAGAATCGTTGATATGGATAAGCCACTCCCATGCTAAGAAGTAATCCACTTAAGGGAAGGTGAGAAGCACCCCAATGGAGGCTTACCTCATATACCTATAAAGATGAAGCCCCCATAGATGAAGCTGAACACATGGGAGAAACCTCTGTATGGATGAATCATCTACCATGAAGGAAAGCATGAGCGCCTCGGAGAAGAGTGCACGATTTGTTGCTCGATTTTGAATTTGACGCAAGTGCTCGATTTGTCTTCGATTGTGAATACTCGATTTCGACCTTGAGCTTTCTTGATCGTCACCTTTACGTCCTTTGGTAGAAATTGTTTTGTCTCCGATTGTAAATACTCGACTTCCACCTTGAGCTTTTTTGACGACCTTCCCGTCCTTTGGTAGCAATTGTTTTATCTTCAATTTGATCAAGTTCGCAACATGTAAAAAATGAAGACTTGAATACAAATATTAGAGATAAAAATATTTTGTTTGTTATAATCAAAACATGAGATCAACCATAGGTCAACACCAATGAATTTTGGATGAATGTACAATGATTTCATCTTCATTGATTTCTAATTCTTAATTTGGTTCCTATGTGATCAAGTTGTCATTCACTTAAAGCTCATCTACGATCGTTGAAATTTCTTCGGATTGACCGTTCAATCCGCATTCTAGATCCACGAGCAATGAGAAGTCTTTCTTTTCAACTCTTCAAGTGGATTGTATTTCCACCTTTTGAATTCATTCCAGTAACTCCAATCTCCAATACATATGTTGCGTTCTTCCAACTTGGCAAGTTTATCATAGTACTTTGCAATTACCCTCTCATTCAACAGATGAGGACTATTTCCCACAAGTTTGATGTCATCATCCAAATTGACAGATAAATAATCATCCAAAGGCATGTAGTCTTCATCAAATTTGTCAATTGCTTGTTTTCGACATCTTAAATATTGTATGAACCCTAGAAGCTCTACCGTAAGGGAGTCGATGCGTGTATGCAAACAGTGCTCAGTATAATGCATCCTATAGCAAAGCAGACAAAAGATATATTCTACAATGTCGAGATTACTTATTGCAATTGTTGTTCTCTCTCACCACTGTTAGAATCATGCATATACTATTTAATAGTACTTGAAAAAATAAAAAAGAGATCAGGATATGTAGCCAAAATTAACAAAATCAAACAAAATTTAAATTAAAACAAAGACTAGTTGGTAATAATATTTGTAAAAATCAAATAAAACAATCCTTGGTAGCGACGCCAAAAACTTGTCATTGAACTTTGAAACCGAAGCACTATATAAGAAGTCAAAGAAGAAGTTGAGACTCTTCACACCAGAGACCTCCAATATAAAACTCCCTTTTGCCAAAACCATCGCTCCAATCTGAAGCTCCCCTAGGCTGAAGCCCTTGCTATCTTTCAGAGGATCTCTAGGTAATATTTAGGAATGATTGATGTAACGTTTGAAATAATGAACGTCAGGATTGTCATCCTAGGGCATAGGGTGGCTGACTCGTTGTCAATGTATTAAATGCAAAGCAAACTGAGTGATGTGAAGCTTCAGCCTCGAAGATGAGGCCACTTGGTTTTTATCAAACGGCTACCACATCGGACAGAACTCTATAAAAGCTCAGAACTTATGCCATTTGAAGACTAATGCAACTCTTTACACTCAAAAAACATATTTAGCCTTATCTCTTGCTTATTACCTATCTATTTGCATGAGTTAGTTTATTTTGGTAGAGTTGTTTATGATTGCTTGTTCATATACAATAATCATTGATGATAATGTTGGTGTTTGAATCTTTTTGTCTGACGTCGTAAAGTATCTCCCACGTCCATAAATGTCACCCTTCTCCGTTACGATCTCCGATCAAAATGTGTTAGAATTTGTTTGCGTGGACGCGAGCAAGTCCGGCATCTGTTATCCACGTAACCATCATGGAAAACGGGGTCAACAAATTTAGTCCCATTGAAGTTAGGATTCTATCTCTTAGAGCTCATCCAAATCTTATATGATAAGATTTGTTGAAGATTTCTATATCTGATCCACAATCTTATTAGCTCATTATTGTCGCTCCAATTGAATAATTTATGGTCCAATTTCCAATAGTTCATAACTCTACTATTAGTGAACCCTGAGGGGTTGCTCAATTGGTTAGGTTTTGGGTTTGCTCCCCAATGGTCACCAGTTCAAATCCCCTCAAGGCCAGTGAGGTGAGTACCCGGCCGTAAACTTTAGGGTCCCGTGGAATTAGTCGATGTGCGCTCAATCTGGTCCGGACATCCACGGTTATCAAAAATAAAAATAAAAAACTCTACTATTAGTGGTAATCACAACCATCACTACATTTTAAATTAATATTCAAATTTTACATTTCAACTTTTTTAATTCCAAAATTACTATAATATCTATAGTAAAAATGATAACCAATAAATATATTCACTACTGTCACTGATTAAAGAAAAGCTACAATCTCTGCGCCCAACATGACATATCAAACACTACACATGCCACCTATTACACCCACTGATCCCACACCAAATCACGCCCAAAATTACCCAACCTTCATCCTCTCCATTGCAGCAGAGATCAAGGAAAAATCAAGAAATGTTTCCAAGAAATCTTCATTCATTGCACAGTAATGGTAATGGGTTGCACTGCTACACGTTGTTCGCAGGTCAAAGTTGCAGATATGAAGACTTCCCAAAATACCAATAGGGCTAAGAGGAATATATTGTTCTCGACTCTAGTTCTAAGAATAAGTTGATTCAGAAACGTCAACCACAGGTAATAGACATAATGTTCTGTATTTTTATTTTTTTGTCAAACATGTATTGAAGTTTGTTTTTCGACAAAATAAAATAATTGTTCATACTGTTGCATCAGTTTTTTTTTAGTTTTATTTCATGTGTTGCTGTTTGTTTTCGGGAAAACGTATCACTCTTATTTTTCCATGAATAATGTATCATACAGCGTGGTAAACATATCACTCTTTTATTCTTTCATTTCTTTATTCCAAACATACGTATGTATTGAATAAAATCGATAGAATACGAAATTTCCTTTTCCATTGTGTTATATAGTTATCTGACGCTATTCACTGGATTTATCAATAGGAATTGAAATTTTATGTCATCCATGCTAACAGATTTTGAGGGAAGCATCAAACATATGCTACAAATATGACCTCATAACCACTCTTAATCACAAGGTTAATTAGCAGCGGGAATTGTTTAGGCGGTCATGCTTCGAACACTTTTTGGACATGAGTGATATTTGTTTACAACATCAGCTCATCCACATAATGCTAATGTTGGAGGTTAGACAGTCCGCAAATGAGAAAAATGTGGTTCAATATTTTCAGGCAGATTTATTAAGTTTTGGATTGAGAAATTTTGCCTAGTCTGGAATCTATGGAGACGATAACACAAACAAATGGAAGATGGGAAACTGCAACAAGACACAGCAAGTCAAGTGTGTAGTCCGGAAAGATGTTAAAAGAGTTTTCTTGAGGGTGCAACAAGACACAGTAGATGAGGACGTGGTGAAGATGGGAATCCTGCATTTAATTACATCTTTCTTGCACATAACTACCCATCCGAAGTAGGTAACTGAAGAAATTATTGCCGGTCCGTGTTGAAGATGAAGAAGCCTACAGATTATCTTTATTCTACTGCAGATGATACTTTTCCCATGGTTTTTTGAAATAGCGATTTAAATGGAGAAGAACATTGGGTTTGCATCATCAATTTCATGATTCGAATTTGAAATCCCACGCATTCAGCAATCTCAATTAAATCCATCCACAAATTCGTGATTTGAATTACTGATGCAAACTTTAGATAGATGTAAGAGTTAAGACAAGAAAAGAGACGTCGAACTTATAGTATATGTATGACAATAAATACTGTTGAGATAAAAGATTCCAACATATAGGACGAATACAGAGATAGAAGCTTATGATGAGGCAGTATAGCAAGGGAACCTCCTATTATGTCATAAAGAATAGTATAGTCTAATAATTTACGAATAAGTTAACACTACACAAACTTGACAAAAACTAAGACAAACTAGAAGGTACTCGATTTACTTAAATTATATAAGATTATCATCAACTATATATCTTGACCATTAGAAGGGAATCGGTTGCTCGAATTTTTGATGTTGTGGAATGTGATACACTCCAAGTTGTATATATGTTGATGTCAGTTTTTAGTTTGGCATCTCGTCTTGATTTTAGATGAGATAGTAATACTTCGTTTTGAAGTTGAAAGTTGACATTTAGTTTATTTTTTAAAAATGTAAATTGAGTGAATATTGACATGCTCTTTCATTTGAACCAAAAAAAATTTTACTCATAAAAATTAAAATTTTTACCCATAGAAGCTGATTTAAAAATAAAAAAAAATAATGATAATAATTCTTTAGGCTAGTCAAGGAGTTATTTAAATAACAATTGGTAAAGTGACGAATTAATCAATAATTAAAGCAACTAATTCACAACAAAGAGAGATTTTATTTCTGCAAATATTTAGAACATAAGATAACAGTGTTAATTAGATTAAAAGAACCTTGTGCACCACTCCAGCCATCAACTTTTTCCCGAAAAGGGGAACCTGATTTCAGTCATAAACAAAGTCAAGATTAGGGCAACTGATTAAAAGTTTTGTATACTTGTGTCCATAAATACCATACCATAGTCATATGGTGCAAACAAACTAAATTAACGAACTAGATTTATATACTTACTTTTAGGATATAAATTTCCTCTTGAATCTTGTCACGTAGATTGTTGTTGTCACGTACATAAAATCTCCAATATTATTCCAGAAGTTGAAATAGGAATGTCTCCATGAATGCTTGAGGACAAGAGTACCAACAACCACCCAAAACCCAGTAATGAAACCAAATGCCATGCAGATATAAAAATCTCGATTCATAAACCCATCATCTTCTTCAACAACATTTACCTTGCCACGGTCAGTCACGGAAGGATCATGAGGACACTCTGCCAATGGATCCCCACAGAGTTGGTTGTTCCCAGCGTACGCAGATGAGTTAAAGCTCTGTAGTTGAGTGCTTAGCGGAATTTTTCCCGTCAAATTGTTGTATGATAAATCCAAGACACTCAGAAAGTGTAGATTTGCAAGGCCATTCGGAATCTCCCCAGAAAGTTGGTTTCTAGACAAGTCAAGCCATTCCAATGTGTCCAATTGACCAATGCTTGAAATGATATTCCCTACTAAATGGTTTCTAGATAAGTTGATGAAAACTAAAGCTCTCAAATCAGAAAATGCATGAGGAATAGTTCCAACTAACTTATTGCTAGAAAGATCAATGCCTTTCAAATTTCTTAGTCTTTTATACTCTGCGTCTTGTCCTTTCCATTGAACCACAGCATTGTCATCCTCATCTGATGGTACCTTGTCAATAAAGGAATAATATTCACTCATAGTTGAACCACAATTCCGAACCAAAGAAGTCAAATTGTTTAAGCATTGTGGAATTTTCCCCGAAATGTTGTTCCTAGAAAGGTCCAAGACGTAAATATTGGTAAGGTAGCAAATTGTTGGAGGAATGGATCCATGAAAACTATTAAATCGAAGGCTAAGAACCGCCAATTTTTTTAGGTGTCCTATCCATGCTGGAATTGTACCTGTTAACTTGTTTCTTCCCACATCTAACTTTCTCAACTCTCTGAAATTCTTCAAAGAGGGCAATTCACCAGTGAAATTATTGTTGCCCAAATGCAATATCGCAAGATGCTCCAGAGTGCTTAAAGTAGGGGGAAGTTTACCTGAGAACTTATTATATGCCAAATTGAGAACAATTAGCTCTTCTTGTAAGTTCATCCAGCAATCAGGAAGCTCTCCTTCTAATTGGTTATGTGACAGAATAAGGTTCTGGATACTGACTTTGGGGCATAAGGTGAAAATGGACCCCGAAAGATTATTATAACTTAAATCTACAGAGTCATAAAAAGCAAAAGACTTTAAGGCCAAATCAGGCATCCCGCCACTAATATTATTATGAGAGAGATCTATATAGTCGATAGAAGACATATTCCACAGCCAATTAGGTAATGTGTCGGATATACCAGCAAAAGAGAGAGAGAGATCCGTAAGAGAATTCTGTGTTCGAATCCAATTTGGAAAATGAGGCCCCATATTACAATGACTGAAATGTACGCTTTTCAATTGGAAGGGAGGAATCCAATCAAAGCTCAAGTTGAAAGACACATTGTTAAAAGATAAATCCAGTTCACTTAAATGGGTAAAGTTTGAAAGGTGGTGTTCGGTGATTGTACCTTCCAGTGAAGTTGAAGAGAGATTTAAAAAATTGAGATTGAAAAGTTTCTCAATAGCTTTGGGTAGCTTTTTCAATTGATTTCCAGAGAGATCTAACCTCTTCAATGACGAAAATCCTCTCAAGTCCGACAGTGATCCTGAAATTTGATTGTAAGATAAGTCTAAAATTTTAAGACTAGAAGGCTGATCAAGGGTTTGTGGTTGAACCCCATCCAATTGATTGTTACTAAGGTACAACTCCTGTAATGATGAAAATCTGGTGATATCTGGCAAGGAACCAAAAAGTTGATTGTTGGATAAGTATATATTCTGCACTGATATTTTCTCTGATAGGTTTTGAAATAAGTGAGGAAGCGATACATATAGTTTATTGGATGATATATCTAGTGAACGCAAATGACTTAAATTCCCCAAAAGAAAATGCAATTTCGAAAAAGTATTAGGGATTGAACCGTCTAATTGATTATAGGAGAGGTCCAAGACAGAAAGAGTTCTACTAAAGTTAAACATTGAGTCAAATATGGAAATGGAAGTGAGATCATTGTGGGATAGATCAAGAGTAGAAAGGGAGGACAAAGAAGAATTTGCAAAAACGTCAAATGCAGACAGAGGATCACCGAGTTGGCAACCTGACAAGTACAATTCCTCGAGTGAAGAGAGTTTTGATATTGGCCGTACCCAGTTGGTTACAGTTCTAAGGTTAATGCCGCTCAAGTGAAGATAAGATAACGAAGAAACATTAGAAAGCCAATCAAGATTATCCATTGTCAAATAATTGTCTCCGAGGTCCAAATGGTTCAAGTGCTGCAACTCTTGCAATGCTGGACTCATCTTACCTCTCAAATGCATACCAGATAGATCGAGGAAGGTTACGTGAGCAGTGCCTCCACAACCCACACCGTGCCATTTGCAGCAATTCTCTTTATCTTCTTCACTACCCATCGTTAACTCACTGAGATCGCCTGTAAGGCTTTCCGCTATCTTGAGAAGAGCTTGTCTCTCCCTCTCTATGCACCTAAATTCAGCAGCCCCAACTCCAGAAACCAATAGTTTCATGCACAGAAAAAGTAGGAATTGCAGTATTTTGATCTCCATTATTTTTTCTGACAGTAATTAAAAATGCTTAATTTTTTGAGTTATTTGTGTTCATATAATCAAATATTTTATAATCACACTAACGCATCAGACACGGTATAGTGTAGGACCCCTTGGAATTGGTTGATCTTAGAGATATTATTCCCACAATCACGCCATACTTTATAAAGTCTTTACGGTACTATCAAAAGAACAAGACAGGATTGACTTGGAAGACCAAGCCTGGATCTTAGCCATATGACAGTTGTGGTACATCCATTGACTCCATTCAAGGCTACAGAGACAAATTACCCTTATCACCAATTTCTGATATTTTCTTCAGCTGAATCAATTTTCTAAACTTAATTTATAGGCGCAAATAATATTAAGTTTTACATAAATAAAAATCAATTAATCTAAGTATGTAACTTATTCACAGTTAATAAATCAAAACATAATTACAAATCTATTCATCATTACCGACAAAGCTACTCAACACACATAAGCACACAAATAAATTCCACAATGGAATCTCATGTAAGTATTAGACACGGTACAAGTGGAGGACCCATTAAATTAGTCTTGAAAGCATCAATTAAAATTAAAGCCAATATAATTACATTTTTAATACGTTGTTGTATTGTGAGATGACACATAAACGTCTTTGATGCTTTCATATAGCTGATTCTAGTCAAGACTTTTTGGTAGAGACGAGGAAATTACGTACACACGGTGAAGAGACACTATTCTTAGCCTCTGTTTGGCCCCCATTATTTGACATTTTTGATAGTTGAAAATTTTTGGAATAGTGATTGATGGGAGAATGCGTGGTGGAAAAATAATGAAAAGTTTTAAATTTGTGTGTGATGTTATTTTATTTGATGAATTTGGGACGAGTAGTCGTGATTAGCATGCGGTCAATACAAAGTTTTCACATGTTAACTAAAAAATTGTCGTTGATTTTATCTTGCAAGTGAATGGGTTGTTACAATTAATAAAGAGATTAGTAGGATATCGTTTTCACGGAAACTAATTAACTACGTATTTTAATTTAATTAGTTATGGAAATCCAAGAAAAAACCCACAATTCATTTTTGAAGTTGATTTCAACTAAATGTAATTATTTATAATCAATTGAAATCTATGACGCAAATTCTTGGAATTAATCAAAGTACTAAGGGCACTAAGATAACGAATCTTCCATTGTTAATCAAAGTACTAAGGACACAATTCTTATATTATGTTGACAACTGATATTCCTTATGTGTTAATTTTTTCTCTCAATAAAAATTATACTATGAAGTATGCGAATATATAAAAATGAAATACAGGCAAGCTAGAATATCAATAAGGATTGCAATATCTACATCTCTTGTAGTGCTTAGTTTTGTTTGTTATTTGAGCCAGAAATATAATTTATCTCTTAATATAATCGCATGTTCCAAAAAGAATCCTAATATTGTTGAACCCAACCTTTTTGAGCTGCTATGGACTGCTAACAACAGGAAGAATTTCCTTCAAAATAGTTTCGGGCTAGAAAAACTTCTGCGGTGGTCAGACAGAATCCGCTAGTGAAAAAAATAATTAATTTTGATTTTGCGGATTGAGATTAAACAATCGTGAAACCTTATCGATAAAGCCATCTTTTTACTTTGATTTAGCAATCTAAATCGAGCATTGTGGATGTCCCGAAAGCTATAAGGAACTCGCATTGGCTAGATGTAAAGTATGATGGAAGGACATTTAAGGGGCAGGAAGGCTGTACTTTTGGCCATCGTAGTGATGGTGATGGAGTAGTGGCCATTGGCGATGATGGGCAGGGCGGGGCAGTGGTCAGTGGAGATTGGATTTTTGGTTTTGTGAAAGATTAGGGATGGGGGATTTGGAGAAGTTTAGCAGTCCAATGGACTCTGGCTGAAAGGTTTGGGGTCGCAATAGCAAAAATCAAAGGTTAAGGTCCTCTGCAATAAATTGAAAGATTTGGAACCTCCACTACAATTTTCCCTAAATTAAATAAATTTTTACCTATATCCCACCTATGTCTCTTTGAAGTATGTGAAGACATAAAAATGCAATACCAAGCTAGAATATCAATAGGCATTGCACCAAGTATAGAAATATCTAGATCTCCAATAAAATTTAGTGTTTTTGTTATTTGAGCTAGAAATATAATTTCTCTCGATATAATCACAACTTCTAAAAACAATCCTAATATTGTCTAGGTAATAGGATGAAAATTAATTGAACAATCGACAATCAACAATTACAAGAATTTAACTAAAAATGAGCAATTTATCGAAGTAAAGAGTCAACACAGAGATCCAGCTACAGGTATTTCATACTGTTTTGGTCCTTGAACTCTAAATCTCCCAAATTAGGTCCTACCACTTCCTATTGCTTCTATATTGATCCTTCATCTTCCAAACTCCTACACTTTATTTGATCTACCAAAGCATTCAGAATGCTCGCCAAAATTCGAATATGGTCCCCAAAACTTGTGCGTTCATCTAATTTTATATGATAAGATTTATTAAAGATTTCTATATCAGACCCACAATCTTGTTAGCTCATAATTGCCACTCCAATTGAATAATTTATGTCTCAAATTCCAACCGTGCACAAACTTGACGAAAACTAAGACAACCTAGAAGGTACTAGATTTACTTATATTATATATGATTATCATCAACTATATATCTTGACCGTTAGAAGGGAATCGATTGCTCGAATTTTCGATGTTATGGAATGTGATACGATCCAAGTTGTATAGATGTTGATGTCAGTTTTTAGCTTCGCAGCTCGTCTTGATTTTAGATGAGATAGTAATACTTTGTTTTGAAGTTGACAGTTGGCACTTAGTTATTTCTTAAAAATGTAAATCGTGATTGACACGCTTCCTTCGTTTGCTACCAGTCAAAAACGTACCAATTCATGTCTCCATTCCCCCACAATGCATTGTCATCCATCTAATTTCGTTACTCGTTTTTACTTTTGACTTCTGAGACTGGAAATTTTGATCTCTTGAATTGTTTATAATTATTTAATAATATGCATATCATATAATTAATTAATAATCTGCATATGGTGAAAATGGATTTAATAATATTAATAATTTAAATCTCAATTAGAATTATTTTTATTGTTAAAGTGACAAACTAATCAAGTGAATTACTTGATCTCAATTAGAATTATTTTTATTTCAATAATTAAAACAACTAATTCACAACAAAGAAACTGGCAACTCACAAACTGACTTTATTTCTGCAAATATTTAGAAAATATGACAACGGTGTTAATTAGGACAATAACAGGCCATATTAGAAGTTTTCTATATTTATGCCCATAAATACCATACCACAGTCATTGTGCAAACAACTAAATTCACAAAGAAAATTTACATAAATACCTTTAGGAAATAAATTTTCTTTGAATCTTATCATGTAGATTGTTGTTGTCACGTACATTCAATCTCCAATATTAATCCAGAATTTGAAATAGGAATGTCTCCATGAATGCTTGAGGACTAGAGTACCAACAACTATCCAGAATCCAGTAATAAAACTAAATGCCATGCAGATATAAAAATCTCGATTTATAAACCTATCATCTTCTTCAACAATATTTATCTTGCCATGATGAGTCACAGAAGGGTCATGAGGACACTTCACCAATGGATCCCCACAGAGTTGGTTGTTCACAGCGTACGTAAATGAGTTAAAGCTCTGCAGTTGAGTGCTTAGTGGAATTTTTCCCGTCAAATTATTGTGGAAATGGAAGTTGAGCATTGAATCAAATGTGGAAACGGAAGTGAGATCATTGTCGGATAGATCAAGAATATGGAGGAAGGACAATGAAGAATTTGCAAAGACATCAAATAGAGGCAGAGGGTTGTGAAGTTGACAACCTCATTGTTGAACCTGGTAGAGTAAATCACAGCACAGCATAAGGAAAAATCACCTGGAAAGGAAACAGCTTCTATGAAAAAGTTCCTGTTTTTCTTTTTTTTACTATGGTTGGAGAAGAAATGGAGATTTCAATATATATATAAAGAACATCAACGACTTGCACAGCCCGCAAGTTCGTCCCAAGAGAAGAAAGAGCTTTGTTTTTACCAAGAGAAGAACAACCTTCTTCCTTTACAAAATTCTCTCAACTCTCTGTTTCTCTGCATCGGTTTCAGCTGGTGTCATCCTTGCTATATACATTATGGGTAAATGGGAAAATGCTAAACTTTGAAGTTTTTTAAGTTTTTCCTTTTTTTTTTTAGCCAGTCAACGGCTATTTTGAAAAGTGGGCGGGTCACTCGGGTATTTCCCACTATTTCCTCTTTGGTCACTGGGTATAATCCGGGCCAATTAGTTTGTGAAATTGTTTGCGGAATTGTGAAATTTTTCACTAGTTTGTAGAATTGGTTGTTAAATTGTGAAACTGCGAACTAGTTTGTAAAATTGTTATGTTAAAATTGTGAAATTGTTTTCAAATTAGTTAATTTGTCTCTATGTTTGGGGGAGAGGAGGTGGGTAATGCAGTAAAGTTCTGACGGCTTGTGATGAAGGTATATCCATAAATTAAGTTGAACCACCACTTCCATCTTCATCACAAGCCACGCCAATAAATTACGGATATACCTTTTGCATAAGACATTGCACATAATAAATTTTCCTTTCATTTTTTCATTTTCCAGTCAAATGCATTAACGCATTGAGAACTTATAATTTTTTAGGGGGTGAGGATGGGATTGGGGAAAAAAAAATAAAGTTTTAAAGGTTTGGAATCGTAGATGATACAAATAAAAGATTTTGGTGTAACTTCTAAAAAAAAGTTTGGGACCACAATTACAACTATTCCCTTTTAATTTTTACAATTTTTACTTTTTCTTAAACGCCTAAACTGATGGAATTGGACGGCAGGGGTGGTTCGCACTTCAAAGTTCCTACAGGAGTTCTTTCGTATCTCAAAGGTTGTTTTCCGCACCTCAAGGTTCATACAGAAGGTTTTTTGTGAATTCCAAAAGGTTTGGA